AGCAAACCATAATACAGATGCATTGTCAGATTTAAGTTGAACCGCGGTCCTAGCGCATGCCGAATCGTGTTTGAAGAACCGTACGGTTCGATTTTTTTCCGCGAACCGTTCCACCCCTAATAGATAGATAGATAGATGGATCTGGAATGCACTAATCACTACGGTTGTTGGGCAAAAAAAAGTTAATATCCCACACTGGTCAAACCTCAGCACCAGCACCCTCTGACACATTTCACAGGGGCACAAATATAGGTCAACAACAAACAACTTGCATATTTTGCATATCACTACACAGGGAGGGGAAATTGTTAAAGTGGTGCTCCTAAAAATTGTTTGGGATTTCAGCTTTTTGGAGGAGTCTCATTAACATCAGGGTCCGGCTAATAAGTTCTCTGGGGCACACTCTTCAAAACTACACCATCAGAAGCACTGCCTCTTGAAGTGATAGCGAGATCCAGCAAAAAGCTGCTCCTCCCCTTTCACACACACAGCCAGAGCAAACAGACACAAAGGGGAACCAATTAGTGGCAGGACAGACCAGGAGCAGCCAAGCTTATAGTCAGTCTAAGAGACTTAATGCAATAGAGGAACACGGATATCAGTGAACTGAAAAACGAGATGAGCCCCTTATTGGTTGGGAATTCATCTTCTCTTTTAGCATTAGTGCTATAGCTGATGCTCATCTTCTGAAAGTGGGCTAAAAATTATCCATACTGCATGACACAGACAGACAAGCAGACTCCTGTTCAAAAGTTGTTCAGTGATGTTTGATGTACTTTAAATATTGTAAAGCACCTCTAGTTTTAACTGAGTGTGAAACTTAAGTGATTATATGTTTAGCTATATTTCAACTAACAATCATTTTTAATAGTTTTAGTTAACAATAATAACCCTGCTGTGGAGGAATTTGGGAAACACATCTGAAATTTTAGTCCAGTGGCACTATTGGAGTAAAAACGACACACTTCACCTTTTAGTTACGGCAGCTCATAGTGTTAATCCATGAAAAGCAATGCCAGCCAAGTCCTCCCGCTTCAAATTTAGCCAACAGACCACTTACTCCTCCTACTCTGAGGAGGACCACCCGGAGCAGTTCCCATCAGAATAAAGAAACCTCCTAACTTAAGAGCGCCCATGGGTTGGAGCCTCAGAAGCCCCATGAAGAGAGAATGTGTGTTTTTAACCTTACAGCCCGAGTAGCACGCAAGCACCGTCTGATGCAGGGTTATTTAACGCTTCAGTGCTGGGGGGTACGTTTTACCATTCTGATCATTCTGAAGCATCAAAGCTAAGCACTGAATATTGGTGAGGAGGGTAAAGAAATTAACGGCTGAATTGAGAACAGTGAATAGTGTTGATTCTGAGGTTTTGTTCTGTGGGGGAGGGAAGGAGGTACTTAAAATGTGCTGGTGGGCTTCACTGATTGGTGGGCCCATTGTTTTATTTCAGACTCTTTATTTTGTACGCAGAGTCGTAGATTCTTTCAACAAGCTTCAATCCATTCATTGCTTAATGCCAGTAGTGGGATTGGTAACTCATGATAGTCATATAGTCGTCATGGAGAGACCATAATATTCAAATGTTTTGTCTTCAGTACTATTCAAATAATTTTGAATATGTAAAATGCCATATTACACGTGAATAAAAATGAAAGCATTAACACAAAATACTCATCAAAATTATTTAAAGCGTGTCTTCAATTAAACATTCAAATTACATTGATTACAATTATGTAAGGGACAGATCATGCATATTTAAATAGTTAAAACATGTAACTGTCAATTAAAACCTGTCCAGGCTTCAACATGAAATCAATACTCCTGAATGTGCAAATTAACAGTATTTTACAAATAAACAATCTCAGATGCAAGAATCCCTAAGTGAAAAATAACCCTGCTTCCTACCTTCTCTTTAACAAAAGCAGTTTAATTCAGCAATAACTGGAGTAAGCTAGTCAGCTTTGCAGTCATTGAGTCAATTGTATAATCAGAACGACCGAAAGATGCTGTCATCCCTCATGACATCTTCAACATTCGATTCAAAGTCCCCTCAGTACGTTTACGCATTATGCAATCCATTTTACTGAGCGTGAGCGATGCATCGACATCCTATAGACTGTTATGTGAGCACTAACGCATAAAATAATTTTCTTAAAAACAAAAGAGCCCGATTTCCCACAACCCACACAAGGAACAATCTCATCCCTATCTGTGTGGTGATTGATCGCCCACACATACAGCAGTCAATGGGAATCCAAGAAACTGCATTCTCATGAAAACCAGTTCAAAAGAACATCTATCTCCTGACCACCAATGATGAACTGTTACATATAATATTACACAGCTGATATTTCCAGACTCAAAGGACCACCACATACTCACTGTGTTAATGCAATGCGTAAAGGGGCGGTCATACTAAATTTTGAGCGTGTGAAATTTCTGCAGACAGCCAGACACTGCAACCGTGACATGATGTCACACAGTGGCGTTTTTCTTTAAACATGAACTCAACATATAAATAATAATAAATCCAAAATGTTAAAAAATACAATTTGCTTAACTTCTTGCAAGCATATAAACAGAAGTGAATAAAATGAAAAGTACCGTGAGACTGATACCCTGCAAATTGAAATCAATTGCTGACTGGATGTCTTTAACAGCAAACCTCTACATTGCGAGTAAATCACTCGCATATGCGACTAAATCTTACTCTGGGCGACTAAATAATGTCTAACATTAGCCATTGGCTAATACATTCTGTATGTATTCTGTTCTGTATTCTTGTGTGTGTGTGTAAAATAGTATATCAGTCTGGCGAGTAAACAAAAAAATGTACTAGCCAATGGCGATTATATTGCCAAGGTGTGCGTAGAGGGTTGAACAGCCAAATTATAGAGTAAAAATGTAATTGTCGTGGCATCTCAGCATAGCAGACTAACCCAATTTATCATGATCAGCCTGTCAAGTGGGACTCCCAGAAGAGAAATCTACACAGCAGACCTTCACAGCCATCTGAACCCCATTAATCAATAAATGCCATTGAAGATCATTACAACTAGGAATGCATGAACATCTGTCTAGAGTGAAACCAGTGATATTCCTGACTGAAGGAGGGTTTGGGACACCCAATAATGAGTTGAGACCACCCTGGCAACAACTCCTCCCTTTCTTTCAGGGTGAACAGTACTGTGGAGGTACCATGGTACAGTGATTGTGATTAAAGATATATGCCACAGTACTGAATGGTACCTGCATGGCAGCTTAAGCTACATCAAAGAATACCATAGTATTACCATGCCGTGACAACCTAGGGTAATAACATGTTTCTTCTAGGTACTTTTAGTAGTACAGCTCACCCCAAGAGACATACACACCACCTTATATCTTAAAGCCAACTTATGCATGCAGATTGAACAACATTAGATGGTGTATTCAATGCTTCACTCTTCAAAAATGGAATATAAGGTTCCAAGACGAACCTTTAACATCCATGGAACATTTCCATTAAATAAACGGTTCTTTATGGAAAAAAGTCAGTTTATTAAAATGTTCTTTTAAGAATTGTTCACTGAAAGGTTCTTTCTGGATCCCAAAATGGGTTCTCTATGGCATCACTGTGAAAAACCTCCTTTCTGAAGTTAATCACAATAATATAACTGTGTAAGAAATATATAAAGTGAATTCAGGTAAATTGGTAGACATCATGCCATTCAGATGACTGGAAAAAATGTCCCACTTAACCTGAAATCGCCCCTGTGTATATAGCTAATTCATCCAAAACAACTAACTGAACGAAATAAATATCACCTCACGCCCAAAATCTGCTGAAACCCATCACCTACCTCCCGAGCTCGTCTCCAATCTCGTAATAATCCTCCACATTTTCCTGGTTGAACACGGTCATGGTGCTCCTGGGCGCTTCCAGCTCTCCGGGATTCCCAAATCAGCAGCCCATCTCTGTCAACCTAATGACAGTTTGCGGCGAACCCCTCTCATATTCGCTCTGTGGAGAGAGAGAGAGACGCGTGAGGGCAACGCGCGTATCGTGCGTAAAAACGCTCAGTGTCTTCACGACTCGCATACAATCCTCTTCCGAGACCCTGACCACTCTCACCGCATGTCAGCCAGTGTTTGCGTACGCTCAGGCTGCTTTAACCTGGTGGGTAGAAACTAGTCAAGCCAACACGGGACAAGGTAACAGTGGATTTGTTGAGGCGTCTACGGCGCTTGGCGTTGCCAAGTGAACAGCGCTGCTTGATGTGTGTGTGAGGAACTGCTCGTGATCATACGTAACCCCTGTGTTCACTCACCAGGGCAAGATACCCGAATCACACTGAGAAGTTGGGCGGTTGACACCTCACGTAAAGTGCCAATGTTTCATTAAACCTACGCCCTCCCTTGTAGCTTTCATATCGTTAGAGAAACCTGGCGTATTCCTTCATTACTCACACGGTCTAACAGAGTATAGCATGCTCTGATCGGTAACATGCTTATTACTTCGATAAAAGCGAATACAAGTAGCTTACCTTTATATTTCCATCGTTGTCAATGTCCAGGCGGCAGGTACGATCCAGTATGAAGCGATAAAACAGCATACCCTTGACGCGAGACATGGAAGTGTTGTGTTGCAGGAAATGGGAGGATTGTAACAATGTAGATGGTGCGGGGCTCTGGGTAATGAGACCGCCAGCTGTCCACCTGAGTGGGGCGCTGTGGAGAAACGCTCATTATAAGCAGAATTATAGTCTAGACATTTTGATTAATTTTCTTCAGATGTGTTAAAATGTTACTAAGACCGAAATGTATGTATCTATCTATCTATCTATCTATCTATCTATCTATCCATCCCATTAATCTGTCTGTCGGTAAATCTTAACGTTTTCCGCAAACGCTTAACACATTTCTCTTAAAATGTATTGTATACTTGATAATGTTCCCTGTACTCCAGTAAGTATTCTCTAATGAATGCTAGTGTCTCATGAAAGGTTTCTAAAAATATAATTTATGCATTGATTAAAATAAATACCTATAATATTTTATAATCTGTATTATGATATTTTATTTTAAAGCACTTTTTTTCTATAATGGCTGACTATTTGCAGATTGACTATGATACACTAGCACCATCTACTGGAACAGATATGGCCTACAACGCAGGTGCTGCTGATCTCCATGGGCAAAGGCTGTAAAAGTAAAACCACTCGAGCAAAACCATAGTTTAACCAGGGCATTTATTGTAAAACTGTGGTTATACAAATGGTAATCAATACGCCAAAAAACATAGGCTACTACACTTTTACTACAATAAAACCATGGTTAATTTTGCGTAAGAGACATATACACGCTCTAATAATATTTGAGATTTTATCGCATACACTGGTCTTATTAGACTCCCCCTCCCTCAGTTTATCAGACACTTTGTGTTTGGTTTAGTACAAAGGCGTGTTTTCTAAACAAAAAAACAAACAAAAACAAAAAAACTCACAGTGTGTTGAAATAAACATGCCTCACAACTCATTGTGGTATTGATTAGCAAGGTGGTTATTATCATCCCCGCATTGATGACATATGTTGCACAGACTTACTTATTATAGAAAGTGTCAGACTTGTACTGTCATGATAATTTGCTGTTTATATTTTGCTGTTTATAATCTCATGTAACTGACAGAATGGTGAATATAGGCTACAGCAACTTTGAGTATTCTACTGAGCTTCTGCAAAATAATATGCTGCAACCTTATGATTTTATATATACATAATATCCCACATATTACTTTTTTTATAGTGAACACATTTAGACAGCCCTGTCAAAGATTTGAAATAACTCATCTGTGGGGGAAAAAAGCATTTAAAAAATCATGTGCTTTCAGTGCGCCATCTTGTGTCTAAAATGGTAAGCGCAGCGTATTAAGCCGTTTTGGCCAAGCATTAAACATTTAAATCAAACAAGCAAGCAAAAAAAAAAAAAAAAAAACACACACAAGCAAAACTCTTTTAAATGTGTGCACCCTCTTTTGATATTAACACACTAAATCAGAGATGATTGTCAGGCTTTGGTGACCGGCTGGCTCACAATGAGACAAAATATTCAGTCAGTCCACATTACCACCACAGTCCCTCCCTATATTCTGTTCGTAAGACTGTAGTAGGCTACTGAGGGATCTGTTTTCCACTTTTCCACTGGTGCTTTTCAGTCTCTCCTCAAACGTTCATGCTGGGAGTCCTTCATGTCCTCAGGGTGAGTGTTGTGTGTGCAAGTGTGGCCTTTTCTGCTTTAATGAACCTGAAGTGACAGATTCTCTCTCACACCTGCTCAGCCTGGATCTCTATCTCTCCTGTGTTCTCAGTATATTTACCTTAGGCCTTGCCTTTAAACTTGACCGTTTTTTATTGCCCAAAGTTTATGTTAACCCAGTTTACATGAGGAAAAATCTTGATCAAATTGCTGTCAATTTATTAAGTTTGGAAAGTTAGATATATGCTGACCTGTTTTTAATAGCCCTGGCTATACTGATATGATTATGGAGAATTGATTCATTTTGATTTGATCATTCAGAATTGATGTTTGTGTAATTTACATGTTCAGATGCAGTTGCAATTTTCAGATTTTTTTTTGTCATATTTTCAATTTCTAATATATTCTAAAGATGCTTCTTGTACAAAGATCTATGAATAACTGTCTATTTAGTTTATTAATTTATTTATCTTTATTTATTTTATGATGTGTAAATATATAATAATTATGAATTTATGTAGTTTGTTAGTTTTGACCCCTATAGCAGTGCATATCATTACACCACATGAGGTATGTTGGAACTTCCCATTTACTGACACACACACACACAAAGAAAAACTTTTTTCCATAATATACCTGTATTAACTACATTTAAATATTATTGGCTATTCAATGGCTTTTCATCAAAGTTTAACATTAATACAATAATAAAAATAGTAAACCAATAAAAAACACAGAAAAAAAATATTTTTTTAAATCCTGGCCTTCTGACTCAACATTTATAGGCACTTAAATATAGCCCTTGTGACAACTTTATATTAATGCTGTTGAGTCAGTGTCAGAACACATGGTCAAATGTGATTAGAGGGTGACAGAATGAGCTACATCACACTCAGAAGCTAAAGTGCTCCCCTGTCCTCTGTGTGGCCACCAGTGACCGTAAATCACTGGTGTTTTCACAGCTGTTCACACACATTCAGGCTTTCATGAAGGCAAGCAGGGCGACATGCACATGGCCATGAGGAAACACCCACAAGCGTCTGTACCTACACTTTTTATGTCCCTTAAGTTTATGTCTTTAATCTATGCCTCAGAGTTACACAAACAGCCGTCTTGACAGCCAAATGATAGGTGTAAACACGTTGGCTTTAACTTGTACTTGTAAAATCTCAGTTACAGTATCTGTCAGAGTCTTTCTTTTCTTGCCACCATGTTGAAGCCACAGGCGTTTTTGAGGCTTTTGTTCTCATTCACTCACAATCTCAACATCTTCACCTCGCACAGAGACAGGAACTCTCTTTTAAAGGAGTTATCCAGGCCCCACAATAATAAAAAATGATAGTAATAATAATAGTCTTTTTCAACCCATTTATTTTGAGAAATAAGTGTAGCTTGTATGAGCGTGAAATGCAAGTGCCATCTGTTTAGTCCTTTATGATCTGTTTCATATGCAATAGTGATGACTCAGTGATGGAAAAAGTAAAAACAACTGTTAAAATCATATGACCTCATGCAGAAAGCATGCTAACATAACAAAAGGAATAAGTACAAAAATGTGAAATTGTGTATTTTTATGGAAATGCCATTGGTTGTGTTACCTTAGCTCTCCTTCACAGTGTTTCAGATTAGGGTGTGGGGATGTGGAGGAACTCCAGTGCTAAACACATCCAAGCTTTGACTGGGAACACATTTTCAATGTGTTCAAGAATTTCATCTAATTTTTGCAGGCTCGATTCATCTCTTTCTTGTGGGAGAGGCCTTTAATAAATAAAGCACCTCCAGATTCCCTTTTTATTGTCTGGTGCTTTTCATTTCACAAGCATTTATTTATATAAAAAAAATGGTTTGGGCTGCCATGCTTACATTACAGTCAAGTCAGCTTTATAGATTTACCTCTACACAAATTCCCAAATGTGCTCACATGATCAAAAGGTGTTAAAATGACTCTTTGCTTTCATATGCATTGAACTAAAATAAAATGGAGGAAATGAAGTTTTTTTAATAAGCAAAAAGAAGCCAGATCTTCAAAGCCTCTTTTCCAGCAGATTGACTCAGATAAAATGCTGGAGATGTAGGTGCCCAGCAGGGATGTGGAAGAATCGGAACACCTCCCCACTTTCTTCACCCCTGCTTATATCCCCCATGGTGTTCCTGTCATAGGATAATGTGCTCCTCCCACCTTTCTCATTATGCCCACTTCACATGTCAACACACATTAGAGACAAGACAGACCTTTGACCATGCTTGTTAATACAAAAATTAGGTGTTTACGTATCCTAAAGAAGATAAAGTGTGAGGATAATGTACAAAAGTTTGTGGTTGGTGAGATTTTTTAAAATGTTTTTGAAAGAAGTCTCTTATGCTCAATAAGACTACATTTATTTGATAAAAAGACGGCAAAAATAGTAATATTGTGAAATACTACTACAATTTAAATGACCTGTGTTATATTTGAATATATTTTAAAATGTAATCTATTACTGTGATGGCAAAGCAGAATTGTTAAGCAACCGTTACACCAGTCTTCAGTGTCACACGATTCTTCAGAAATCACTGTAATATGCTGATTCGGTGCTCAGCAAACTTATCATAATTGTTGAAAACAGTTGTGCTGCTTAATATTTTTGTGGAAACTGTGATATTTTTTAGGATTATTTGATGAATAGAAAGTTCTCAGAAAGTTCTCTGACTCTCACTTTTGATCAGTTTGAAAAAAAAAAATCTTACTGACTCTTTGAATTGTAGTGGGCAAAAAAATTATTGGAAACCCTTTACAATAACATTCCATTTATTAACAATAGTTAACTACATTAACTAAAATGAACTAACAACTAAAATTCTACATTCAAGCAAATTCAAGCACTTAGTTCATCTTAGTTCATTTCAAAATGTGCAAATATATTATTATTGTTATAAAGTTGTATATGTTCAGATTATTTAATGGACCTGAACTAACATCAAATAACAATGGACACTTGTGAGTGCCGAAATAAAATAGCTAATTTTGTCTTTCACAAAAAAAAAAAGTCTACTATTTTTAGATCCATTCAAACCATCTTTCACTGTATGTTTCTTCTTGATTCCCCAGAGACTTTCTCCAGCATGCAGTTGGCCCCTAGCACCACAGCCAGCCCAGAGCCACAAGCTCATGTTTTCCTCCCAAACCTGGATTAGTGAAGTCTGATCCCACAGCCACAGTTCAGCGAGCACACTGCTGGAGCAGTCCTGTACCTAATTAACTTCATTTTGCCTCTGTCAGTGATTCCAATGTGCAGGCGCAGCGTCAAGCCAAATAGGATTTGACATTGCTTTCATAAATTCTATAATCTACTTCAGTGAACACAATGCTACTTTCAGAATCAGGCCCTGCATAACTCTGTTCCTGCCATTTGGGTTGAGGCAGAGTGAACGTCAACAACGGCTACTCAGTCTTTTTTTTTTTTTTTAT